GATCGATTGTTTTGAGAGGAAATGGCCCGTTTGTGTGTATAACTTTTGCTTCGAGATCGTTACAACGAAACGTAAGCGTATATATCCCGAGTGCAGGTCGCGTGACGACGTTCCCACTGTTATTTGGGTATTGAAGTTTCTTTGGTAATAGCGATAAGTGTTCAAAGTGTCGATTTTCGTGGTGTATTTATGTTCATCGAAGCAACACTTCAAGCAAACGTACAAAAAAAAAAATAACATACCTATACACTTGTGGCCTAAATGATGGAAGTAATTTTAACCCGCACTAATAAATAAAATGCATTGTTGACAATACCCCAATAAAGAAGATAAGAAGAGCCCCTAAAAAACTTCCGCGTGTGGCATAATACAAATTGTACGGAAAGTTTAAAGGGCCCGGATGAGCTGTGGCGATTATTGTCACTGGAGCTCTATAATCTGCTCATTTGTTATATCCACCAAAGTATAAATTTCATGCCCCGGGAGCGTGCCTCGTGTTTGTTGTTACACTCCACTGTCGAAAGTACATACGGCTCTGTACTATCTTTTACCCCTGATTTACTTCGGATGCATTATGCTCCGTTTTTCGAGATGTGCCCAGCCAACTCTGAGCCCATCACTCGTTCAACAAATTGTTTACCCGAAACTTTTCTAGTTAATATTATGTTCTTTTGTCTAAGAAAAAAAAAAAAAAAAAGAGTACGGACGCTTGAATGCATGTGTAGCGATGTTCTTCTTCATTAAAAGGAACAAACAAAAAAAACGTTTTGGGGACTAACGTCAAAACTATCGGAATTGCGGTTCTGTTACTCAACCGAATGGGAGGGCGTGCGACAAATTAATGTGCATCGCCATTAGGCTACAAAGTGATGGTGGTGATGTAAAAAACGCTTGCAGGTATCCTAAATTCTTTGCAACAACTCCTTATACAATTATATAGGTACTTATATGATAATTTATTCGCGCTCGAATGTAATTATTATTACCACTGCACGTATAGAAGTATATATATTGTCATTGGCAAAAAAGCACCAGTGCCGCGCCAAAGTTCAGACTGACGAAAAGTCTTCAAGATTTTCGGCTCTTCTCGTTTGGCTCGGGACGACGGCGACGAGGCGTCCTTTGTTCTCTGGTCGCGTGTGTGGCGACGCCAGGGCTAATTTTCAAACAGTGGGGCTTCTCCGCGATGCGATTGCTGTACTTACGTGTATATATACGACAGAGCTCGCCTGGCAACGTGCGACCGACTCACGTATGTGTTTATGTACACAGAGACAGGCTTACGCGTGTATATATATACACATACGTACATGTACTTTGTGTAACATTGAAAAGCCACGACAGCGTGTTTTTACGCAATAACAGTGCGCCTACTTTGCGCCAAAGCTGATTTTTATCTCTCTTCTTCGAAGCCTTGACGAAAAGACTTGCGGTTTTTTCGTCCACGGATCACCTTGGCTAGAGGGTTTTAGATTGCGCACATGTGTGTGTGATGCGTGATTTGTGAGGTTTTTCTCTCTCTGCTGGTATAATTATTGGAAAAAGGTTCTCCTCGGCTGATGGTTCGGGATTTATGGTCGGTCTACTGAAACTATGATGTTCGCAGACGATTGGCTCGAGGTTTGCGCATTGCGAAACACCTTCTTTGATTGATAATGTCCGATTTTTACTCGAGTGTAATGTATTTCAATGGTGTTTGTCGAGAGAAGAATCGGAATACGTTCGGTATGTGTTTTCGAGATGGCCCGGGATGATGTTTCGAGTCTAAAAAATTATATTTTATACTCAAGTTCCCCATAACGAACGTTGCCAAATTTTGGTTAGCCTAAGCATATCGGTATGTATTTATATGTCCTCAATCACGGGTATAATATTTTTGGCGAATACAAATGTACCGATACAACGTTGAGACCAACCAAAGATTTGAAAAATTAACGATAGGGGCGCTATTTCAGAGTTGTGCCCACAGCGAATACATATATAAGCATATGCACGTTGTAAAAGATCCAAGGATTGTGCGGAGGACGGATTTTCAGTGGTTGGAAATGAGCGTCGTTGCGATGATTTGTGTTTTGACGCGCTTCGGTGAGCGCGATTCAAAACTTTAGACGCGCATAGATATTTGTTTGGTTTAAATTTGAGAAATGCGGGTATGAATGACTATTGTGCTACGATTTCATGAATATTTCATGTCATCGAAAGTGGCTCTTGATGCTCTTCTAGATTAAAATGGTGAGCAATTTATGAGCTATATACCAGTGCTGAAAATTAACAAATGACACGTGTGTTTTCAAAAAACTTTCATCAATGATATGACATGAGAAACAATTTTTATTGTTTGATAATACGTTTTATTTTTTGTGTTAATATTAACAAATTTTTTTTTGGAAAAAAAATTGTGTTAATGTTGTCTCTACTAATTAAAAGAATTACTGAAATAAATCTCAAAATAACTTATCAATCAACGATGATAAACAATTCTTTTGTAAAACAAGATAAATAAAGCCTTACCGAATATCACTGGTATAATAATTAGCTTTGAGGTGAGTTCACGATGTAACCAAATATTAAAATAATACTCTCGAAGTTGAAAATATTATTGACTGTAATCTGAAAATTGTGAATGAAACCTTAAATATAATATTTCACGCATACACCAACCGTCAAAATATATATCAACCACGCCTTAATTCATAACTTGCTCCAAATAAATTATGACACTGGGTGAAATCGACTTTCTATCTCTAACGCGTTTACCTCTCAAACGGTCCACATATATATATAGAAAAAAAATATTATCCGTTATAGAAGTTGTTGCCATATAAAATTTAAGACTCGATTCCTAGTGGAGTAACAGGTAACTTCAAAGGCGAATCTGTTTCAATTTTTTTTTCTTCTTTTTTAATTTATAGGTACTCATAATGGTGTTGAAATATATAATAAATCGTGCGTACGTACACCGATGGACAACCAAAGTATTTAAAACTGACATGTACTTGGGAATCGAAAGTGGTATTCTTGACTTGATACGCAGATATATGACCGAATGTACCCGCAGTACTTGCTCCGATAGCCGCATTGAAAATTTGTGTACTCATTTTGATACCATAAAAATCCAATTTATAGATCCCGTGCACGTGACAGCCAGGGCCATTACGATTCGATCATGCAATACATCTTGTAGAAGAAATCACTTTAATGACGGTGGGCGCCGCTTAAACTAATTTTCTTTCCCATGAGAATGAACATTTGGCCGTGCCCATAAAGTGTAATGTGGAGGGGCCCTATTAGCCTCGCGTGCAATGATTTTGGCATCGGCATGAAATCAGGATAAGTATACCTGTATTCCATTCAACCGTCACTAATATTACCTAAAATAAAGATGTTCTGATATCATACAGTAAAACAAGACCAAAAGTTTCCAAGTTTCCCGATGGGAGCGCTGTACTTCAAAGTTGAGGACGGGAAGGAAAAGCACATTTCTTAAATTATGCTGCTGGTGTCAGTCACAATAAAAGGATCAATGAGAAAAATGAAGCTCTCTGCCGCGCTCGACTGCACCACGACCCGCGAGAATTTAAAACAAAAAAAGCTCGAAGGAAGAGGCGAGCATATAAGTACACGAAAGCGTTTCCTTTGAGCTGATGTGCTGCATCACAGACAAACGATAAAATATATGCCATCCTGCGAGAAGTAACAGCTGTGCCCAGCTGGCGTAGGTTGCGAAAGCGCGTGCGTGTACCTGTGCTTTTGTAAACCTATATATTGAAATCACACATGAGTATATATTATGATGTATATGTTGTACGCTGCACCTGACGGTGTATACTGTGTATCAGCAAACTTGTATTATATAAACACATAATACTTTCTTCAATCGCATCGTATATTGATCTGATTGAATAATCGATTGGCTTATTTTTGTCGCTTGAAAAAATGGATACATAAAATATTTTTTATGTATCCGAATGAACAAAAATTAAATTTAAAAGCCATTCGCTACGAAGGATAGCTGAAGCATGAGGGGATGACAGCTGTGGCCAACCGATGGAAGAGGCAATAACTTTCAACACGATGTTCCATATAGAAACACTTGTGAATTAATATACAAATCAGGGTTACAAGTACAGTTTTATATGCATTGGTAAAAAGTGTATTTTTGCGTATGCGCGCATAAGTATATTATCTCTTTGTCTTGCTGAAAGTGTAATACTTATTTAGCGTGTACAACATTGGGTAAATGTGTAATAAGCACCTTCTCCCTCTGGCTCCGCACCTTTGTTACGTGCGCGTCTAATTGTAAGTAGTTGTGTATGAAATCGCGGATACATTATTCGCAGGTCTTTCTCACTCTCGCTCTTTCTCTCCCTTTACCACGCACTTGCGACTCAACGCGGCCTGTACAGTTTTTATTGTTTTCGAATCTCTTATACGGTATATACGTACGGTAGTACAACATACGTGTTTTTTAATACAATTCACTATGTATTAATTTTTTCGAAAAATGATGGTTTTGCCTGTCCGACGATTCTTTGTTTTATATATAGTCTACATTTCCGCAGAAATAAGCACGTACAGTGACTCAGGCGAATGTCATTTTGCGCAACTCCAAAACGTACCGATCACAGGTCACGGAGAGCTTTTTTTCGGCAAAAATCATTTTTCCGCTAACGGTCACAAAATATGAAGCGAAAAGTATGAATTAACCCGCGGGCTGTCATAAAAAGCTCCTCCGAAAGCACGCAGTAGATCGCACACGGAGATACAAGTGTGCATGGCAAAAGCACAAAGAAACAGCATCAGCGGCTGTCATCCGGTTTCTCTCTCTCTCTCTCGCGGGTGCGAAGCGCAAAAAGCAAAACGATCTACATACTTGTACGCGTTGCGAATGCACACAGTAGGTACATATATACCCAATGGATAAATAAAGGAAGAGGAAAATATATCCCCGACACCAGAAAAAAAAAAAAAAAAAAAGTATAGTTTTTAAGTGCACTCACCGTAGCAACAGCGAGAGCGTTTTGTTGTTGGCGCACTCCAGGATCTTCTTCTTCTCCCAGCCTTCGACAGTTTTCACCCACTCCTCGCCCGGGCTCCTCCAGTCCTTTGATATGAACGGCATCCTCCCGACAGACACCTGTCCGTACGGTCTCTATATATTATTATATCCTTACCAAATTTTTGATCAAACGATGAATAATATGTCAACGCACGATCAACAACAACAACAAACACTCTCACAGCAGCGCGCGTGCGCGGACACCCGACGATATATATCTATATAAATTGTCTCGCAAGTATATACCTATGTACACAAAGCGAAAGAGAGCACGAAGGAGCTTTTTAATTCCTGGAGAAGAGCTGCACCAGCATCCGCGGGCATGTGCAGATAGGGTCCCGAGGCTTGTTGCAGGGAACAACTACTGGCGAGCGAGATCTAGGTACGTGCGCAACTCTGGGGATAGCGCGGAAGCCCGAGGGTAGTCTCTTTGTCGCGATGTATACACCGACTGACAGTTCCTGTGTCCTTAGTGCTAAGGAAACGACTACTACGACGGCCACGATGAGGACGAGGAGGAGACACTGGTCGCAGGTGTACGACACTCGAACTGTCAAAAAACAAGAACAACGACGAGGATGCCGCTGGCACACCGTGTTCTGGAGTACGATCTGTGCGATCGTCTGTTGTAGGTGGTGGGTGAATGTATATATGTATAGGTAATTGCACCTAATATACGTATAGGATACAACGAGCGGACGGACGGAAACGGAGTCTGTTGCCAAAGTGCACTGCAGCGCTGGTTGGCTCGTCTCCCCCTGCGGAGTTTCGGAGTCGGAGTGTGATCGCGGCGCGCGCACGTCCGGCGGCTACGGGGAGAGCTTTGTTTCCCGTGACGTCACGCGCGCCAATGTGTGCGTGATCAGCTGGGGAGTATAGTTGGCGAGTGAGCTTCTCTCTCGATCTCGCGTCTTTCGCTTTCTCCGCTCTTTTTGATTCTCTTTGTGTCCGTCATCGAGAGCGTTTGGTGCTCTGTTGGTATACATGTATGTATGTGTGCTGATAAAAGCGTGTTGTTCTCGTACCAGTAGACTGACTCCCATCAATCATCAGCTCGCAACCAGAACGGATCAACCGAGACAGCTATCTTTTCGTTGATAGTCTTTGAATTGGGACTTGCAAGTTTGCAACTTGCGATGCCGGCTGACGGTATGTGTTTGAAAGTGCCGCGGGTGCAGGTTCGTATCTGGACTAACTGGAGGCGCTGCTGGTATTTTTATTTTTATTTTCATGATAAATTTGTGCTCTGATTTAAAAATCAATAAATTGGTAATTTAAAAAGTATCAAAAGTATACATATAAACATTGACAAATTTGTGAAAAGATAAAAACGTGTAGCGGTTTACCTTGTTATTTCCAAGTCCTAAGTACTGTACTTAAAGTACAATTGGAATGCCGCAGGTGGCAGCACAAGCACGATCACAGAGCTTGCGCGACGATTTTAAACTTCCAAACAAATCTTTTCAACTGCGTCTAAAAACAATCAGTTCAGTTGAATCATTAGTCCGACGAAGGTGCGATGGTTCAAAAAGCACGAAAATCGTAATTCGTCCGTTGTCAACTTCAGAGAGACCTTTTGCGCCTTTTCTTCCAACGAAACAACGAAACATGTTTGCGCGCAAGTTTTCGCGTCGACATGATAAAAAAGCAAAAATAAAATCCGAGCTGCTTTTTTCTAGAGCATGGGCCAATGGCCCGTGTACTTTTTACTGATTTTTGGTATCGCATTTTCAAATTTCGATAAACACAGGTAATTTAACGGTTAGCGCTTGAAATATTCATCAGACGCGCGATAAATATAACCTCGTACGATATATATCTTTCCCAAGTGGTTGCAGCGCAAAAGTACCGAAAAACGAAAAGAACCTGGGAACGGTTTTGTTCGACGCGAGCACGACGTGCAACCATTGCTGGACCAGGGAGGAGCTCGTCATCATTAGCAGCCGCAAGGTGTTTCAGGACCTTTTACCCGAAGTAAATTCAATCCAACAATCATTTGTAAAAACGTTCCTCGCAAAAGACACTTTTTGCCAAATACCACTGCACTTTACAGATTGACATGTCGAACATGCAAGACGACCAGTACGTGGCCAACCTACTGAAGTTCTTCAACACTTGTCTGGAGTGCATATGCAAGATGTCGGTTGGAAAAACCAAGCATCTGGTCGTGAAATCCTTTGCCGACACCATGGGTGGTTACCTCAATTCGTACGTGGGTCCGATAACAAAGGTGGCGTTTTACGCCGGTAACATAAAGTACTGCAACGTCAAACGGATATTCGAACTTATTGCCGAGCTTAAGGACTTTTTGTACACAAATGGTGCCGGCTGGGCCAAGCCCGTCGAGGTGGAGATGTTCATCAACGTCACGGCTATCGTTGCACCGGCCAAGGACGCGTCGGCCTGTGACAAATTAATACTCGATCCTGCAAGTAAAAATTTGTCATTACGAGAGTTTAAGGTGATTTGCTTTTTCGACGAGTCCGTGAGAATGTGAATTGCCGGTCGACAGGTACTGCTGCGAGCAGGAGTAAACAGCGACGACGCAGGGGTTTGAAAAAACGATCATCAACGGGATTCAACGTCAAAGGTTGACGTTTGTAACTTTTTTTTAAATCTAAAATAATCCCTAGTCTATTTAAAAAAAAAAAAAAAAAAAAACAGTTCACTTTGCTTTTGCGTATGCGAGTAGACAGTCGTCGCAATCGTCAGGCAGCCTCGTTTGTGTTTTTACCGTACTTCGACAACGATTTGGAACCCAACAGGTTGAAAGATTCGTCGTAGATTCTCGTGCGATCGCGTACATGGATCGATCAATTTTCAACTTTCATCATTTCAGCATAGCTTTGCCGTTCAAGGATAACAACTTGTGGTCATTGTTCGACGAAGAGTCAGTAGCCATACTGTCTAAATACTACGAAACATGTCTACAGTGCATACTATCGAGGGAAGACCACAAGAGGACTCTCGCGGATTTCAAAGGAGATTTCCGCGACTGGCTACAACAAGTGGTAAAATTTCGTTGCGTACTAGATTGCGTGTAACTTGAAATATAATGTGGTAACAATTGGCACTTAGGTTTACCCTCGTTTAAGCGATGAAAAATGGTACCCGGCTTTCGGCGGGGTGTTGAAGATAATCGCGTCTCTGAGAGGTATTGTCGAAACAAACTGTGCGATATTTGTGAAAATATTTTTAAAAAAGATTGATTTGAAATGAATATTGTATCCGTTCGATCAAAGACGACGAGAACAGGATAACCACGGGTAAAAAACATGCTTCAAAGCCAACAGACGGTACTTACTTAGATAAAAAAAGGTGTTTGTAAAACAAAAATTTATACTTTTTTTTTCCTCAATGTATTATATAGACTCCTTGAGCACTTGGCAGCTGATTCTCATCACAGTTTCGACAGCAGCGCTCGTGTGGCTACTCGTAGGATTAACCTTGGCTTGTTTCAAATACCGCCAGAGGCACTCGTGCGACGCGCCCTCCCCCTGTGAATCCCCGAGTTCTAAGTAAGCTCACTTTCGAGCGTAACATATACCTATCTAATTACGATTGATCGTTTGATTATTCTCACAGCTGCAGAGCATCGCCGGGCGACGATGTTGGCTATTGTGCCCTGGACAACTGCCCACGTTTGAATCGCGAAAGCGTGGGTCACAAAGTGAAGGAATGGTGGAACAAAAAATTCACATTTTCTGACGGATGCGGCCAAAGGAGGGAACACCACTCGGCTGCCGATTTGTGCAAGGGCAAAAAGTCCGTCCACAGGCCCGTGGGTAGACGGGTTTACAAGTAAGTATACGACAATCGTGGACTATGAGATGATAGGATTTTTTGATTTAATGTACGAATGAACGATTTCTGGGGTGTGTCGTAGGAAACGAAAAAAGAGCCGCAGATCTGCGTCTCTTTCCGGATCTCCGTGTAGTAGCTCCCGGTGCGCGTACTACGAAAACAAAGTAAGTATAAGTTTGGCGAGACGAAGCCGCCCGTTTGTTTGAATATTCGTTGTTGTTTTTGTTTCAGCAATTTCACTACAGTTCGGACATGTCGAGCACCAATTCAGAGGACAGCTCGTACAGGTAGCATATTTGTCAAGTTAAAATGACAAACGGAATAATTTGATGATGTGTGTAGATACAAGTGACGATGTACAACTTCCGCAGGCAGGAGGGTTTTTAATTTTAATTTTAATACTATACAATATCGAGCGTGGAGATTTGTAAATATTTTATAGAGGTATTTATAAAGTAAGTATATATTTGTAAGCGTAATAAATGTACTTTGCATAAGGTTGAGAGATTACTTTGTTAATTTTTAGCTTGTAAATTAAAAAAGAGAGCTTGATTGATGGCTGAAAGGATTTTATTTTTTTTAACTCATGGTAAAAAATCATCGTTTTAAATGAAAAACGTGTTGAAGTAATACACGTTGAAAAGCCACGGTCATTACATCCAAAGGATCAGTCATCTCCGCAGGGTATACAAAGTTTAAGGAACTAACACGACCTGATCATCCTCTGAAATATCCTATACCTTTTGTTCAATGTTAATGACCTTTTATGTATTATTCGCTCCTCCTTCTGCTCGGCCCCTCCCTTCTCTCGCAGTCCTCCCTCGACGAAAATTCTAAATCTGTCCCATCCGAGCCTCACTCATGTACATGTATACAATCCGCTCCAGAAAAAAAGTCCAAAGCTCCACCCTCGCATACAGGTATATATATAGCTTGCACAAAGACTACTGAGAACCCTGCAAGTTGCCCAACTCAACCTGCAACTTGTTGCAAAAGGACCACCGGGTTGAAGATGACTGTTTCTACCATTGCACTCGTCTATCTTCCTCCTACATAGATCCTTACTCCTTTCCACGCCTCTTCTGTAGCATTTACACCAGGTACATCTAGTAGAATTTTTCTTTTTTTTTCCCCTCACATGTTTCATTGTTTGCATTTAAGTGATGATCAATCGTGGACTAGTTTACATTTGTACATGTTTCAGAGTCAACTCATATAAAGGGGAGGGTAAATAATAGCAGGGTTTTTTTTAACAAAGAAAAAAAAAAACTTTTACAATTCTTTACCTTGTTTCGAATAAAAAACAAGCTTCTTGCAATGCATTAAAAAATTAAAAAGGTGGGACTATCGACAAGAGAGACCTTCTTCATTGTAAATGGGGCAAAAAGCTCGGTTTTTAATTTTTCGTCAAGTTTATTCTTATAAATGAATCAATTTTTTCTTTAGAGACATGTTTATTGAAAAAAGTCTCAACAACCAACGTATGTTAACTCTTTTTGAATAACTTTTATTTTTCTCGTACTAGAAAAGTACCATAGTGTAAAAAAAAGTATGTATATAAACTTGATGTGGTATTTTAGTACACATATATTATTAATTTAAGAAAATTGATCTTTCTAATAAACCTATAATATACAGGTATACTTACATAAATACAAACTTGCACGCGAGCAGACCTTACTTACATATATATACACACACGGTATACCCGCGAGAGACCCTTCTCTCTCTCTCTCTCTCCTCCAGCCTTTTGCCATCTCTTGCATCCTCCAAAGCAGCCCCCCAGGTGCTCTGGCACTGTACAAGTATACACGTATATATTCAAGGGCGAGGGAGAGAGAGAGAAAGAAAGAGCGCGTGGCGCAAAATCTGTTTGGGGGAGCACTGCTCCCGTGCCGGCTATATAGAATACTGCTGCCGGCTCTCGCGGCGCGCCACACCGGTCCGTCAGTGTTGCGCGAAACGTCGTGCCGAATGCACATGCGTCTTGGGTCACGTAACTTGTTGCAACTATGCCAATCCTTTGAGTGATGTGCCGATGCTTCGTGTACTCTTTTTTTATATATACATCTTTGCATAAATACATGTTATCCTTCTCGTTCGTAAGCTGTGTATTATATTCATCGTTCTTTTCAATAGTCTCTAGTATTTTGTAATACCGTTGGTTCGCGTGTTCTCGCCGTAAGCGCTATTGATTGCATCGTTTTGTACATGTTCGTATAAGTAGTTACGAAGTTCGCTGAACTGTCAGGGGTCTTTGTGTTACTGTCGATATCTCATCTATATATTTATAGATTTTCAAGTGTTTTGCACTAAAATCTTGTGTATCTCTGAATGTAGACGTTCGTCGTTTTGGAACAGGTTTGAAAATTTGTCACAGGCCAAAAACTACTTTGGAGTGTAAACAAGTGCGAATCCTATATATGTACCGCAGTCATCGATACGCGAGTGAAAATCAAAATCAATTTTTGTTTCACACGTGACTGCTACGGAACGCCGGCCGGTTATTTCGGCCGAACAGGTGTTTTCCCCCTCGATTTTTTCACGCGCGCGCTCGCTCGTTGAATCGAACGCTTTTCGTATATGTAATTATACCTACTCCGACACGAGAGGATCTTTAAACTGTCTTTATTCCCTTGACTGCAATCGAGTGATTACAGGTGTACAGCGAGTTGTTCGTGCTATAAAAGTGTTTTTTTGCCAGACAAGCAAACTGTACGTGTCTGTGACTGTAGTTTCGATTTAAAAGTGTTTTAAAGTGCAACCGTTGCAGTTCGTTCGAAAAGCAATGCTACCAACCGCCAACCCGATCGCTGTATCACTATCAATCGGCCACTATTCCTGACAGTCTACCTTTCATGTATATTCTACCATAGCTGCATATTAAGTATCGCCGTCTGCGTTGCCTCGTGTTTGTGTGTTTTACCGATATATTCAGTGCTCGCGTGTGTCGATAATATATATCCGTATACATAGTGTGGTGGTGTGCCAGCCATCAGAGGGTGAAAAAAATAAACGAGCAGACGGAAAAGCAAGGGATCAGCATCAGAAGGAGCTCTGTGCTGGGATATTCCCTTCTTTGTTTTGTTTTGTTTTTTGCCTCGTCTCGGGGATCCCTCTCTCTCTCGGAGATACAACAGCTGTCGGCGAGATGCTTCCCGGAAGACGTCGCCGGGCGCGCCTCGACGTCCTTCTGCTCCTCCTTGTCGCCGTGGGCTGCGTCGCTCTTCTGCCAGCGCTCGTCGTTTCTAAAGGTTCGTTTTTTCATGCGTCAGCTTATTTATGCTTAAATGTCGTAGCTTTTTTTTTGTACTTGAAAGAGAAGAAGCAGTACGGTTATGGGCTTGTGTGTTTTGACATGCTCGTTTATGCGTATAATGGATGTGGGAGCTGGTGCAGTAATGTTTGGACTCTGTTTGACGGGAGACCGTGATTTTCAGCGTGTTGGGAATTAATCACTTGTTATTGAGGTTTTCATGAATATGGGCAACTGAGATTTGCAAAGGCATCATTTAATCAATGATCGGTACATCAAACATTTCATTCACACAATATATTGATACTGAGATTAAAAATTTCGTAACAGTTTGTCACAAAACTTACTGTGACAATTTGCTTTGAATGTTTTTCTGCTTGTCAGCACCTTCGTATCAATAGCCAGCAATTTGAAATTGATTACTCGTTCCATTTTAAATAAATCAAAAAACTTTGCGTATTAAAACGTTCATTCCTTATTAATTTTATAGAAATACTTTGCCACGCTTACAAAATTGAAGTAACAACGAAAACCAATTGCTGCTCGAAACGAGAACTTAAAAGTGCTTTAAATCATGTAGAACTTACGAGCAGTTTGCAAAACTATATTCGTATAACTTACAGTTTCATGACGCACCCCATTACACACTTACGAATGTGCTTGTAAATAATCACATGGCGATTTTTTAAGTACGCAATTTTCTGGGCTCGACGCTGCATGAAAGTTCTTTATGGTCTTGGAATTGATGGGCGTAATAGGTATACCGTTCTGTGGTATAAAAATTTATGACATGTTGAATCACAGCAAAGAATCCCATCTCCACTGCCTTCGTAAATTTCTTATAATGAAGAAATATATTTGTTTTCGAAAAAAATGAATGTGATCTACGATTTAACATCAACCAGGTCAAAGCGAGGATTTTTACATTATCTGAAACATTGAATTCGATAAGGTGACGGCTAACCAGGGACTTGTTTTCCTCATGACTTTAGCAACTCCAAGCATTGAGAAAGAAAACGTGTCAGTCACAAGGTAATAATAGTTAGACCATTGAATTCATATATTTCCTATATGGTACGTAGGTATACGCGAGGATTCCCATCAGCAACGCCACGAGTGAAGTAGTATAGAAGAGCATAATAATAAGCCGAGCGTCTCCGAGCTCACGTGCCATGTACCAAGTGACATTTATTGTTCTCTGCTCTCTTGGAGCTTCTTTCTTTAGCGAGTTTCTCTCTTTTTTTTTTATTCTTCTTCTTTCCCTGGTAATACCCGTCAAATTTCTCGTTACGGCGCAAACTGGCGCGCTGACACTTTGTGTCACGATCGCTCGGCTGAGAGTTTGTTCGTTTATGGTAAATGTGTCAAGTGGTAAAGGAGCGAGAGGAGGGTATAGGGGGGCAGATGGAAAGATTTGCCAGGTGTTTGTGTACATTTGTGAAAATTGATACGTTCAGCAGGA